AATTGTCTGTTAGTACGTTATTTTTTTAAATAAATAAAAAAAATTCGTAATGGAAGTTTTTAGTTTATAGTACTTTTTTTACATATTGCAACTTGTCACTGGAATTTTCACCGTTAGTTATGCCGTAGGTTTAAAAGTTTAAAAAAGTTTTGTCCATTTAGACGCAGTTGGAGAGATAAATTAAATAACAATAACCACTCGAATAACATTATATTCGTTTTAATTTTAGTATTAGCTAATTAGTAACACTTCGTTTGAAACAAATTAATTGCGTAGTTGAAACTCATTAACTCAGTTTATCTGCGGCGACTACATGTGATTAGTATTTTTATAAACACGTGTAAAATTAATCTAGACGAGGTGTACATCTGTTTGGGCCATCAATGGCATTGAAACTTGTCTCTCGATAATTATGTACGATATAAAGTGGATTATTTTCGACCGGATGTCATACAAGGTGAATTAAATATGGCCGCCCGCCTCGTAACTCGATCGTCGGACATCGCGCGCTTATGGCTTCGTCCCGGTCATCCGAGTGTCCGCCCCACAGACTGCGTAAATAACGAAACGCTAGACGCAAAAAACGGAATGAACAAAAAAACCTACACGTTTTATCGCATAATCGATGTTTTAATCGATAATTTAAATAGAGAGAAAACTAAGACTTTTGACTTTTCATTGTTTTTTTTTAAACATGAGAAATGGCGCGAATGTCGGCGCGTCGATTAATTGCTTTAGTTATCTGTTTCGCGTTTTTTTGTTTGGATTTTATTAATGAAACGCTTAGATTATGTTGTAAGCTTTATTTCAAACATCTTAATATATGCAGACGTAGAGTTGAGAGAACTATTAATACGTTTAAAATGTTGTGTACTTGTACTATTATGAAGCCAAACATTTTTGATTAAATTATTACAGTGAAAACGATATTGATGCGAACGTAAAGCTATATGATAAAATCCTGCGCTTTTCGTTCAATTTATTCAAATTATATTTGTTTATTTTTTTTAATTGTCAACCATTAAAAATTATTTAAATTAAAAAAAAGATGCAGCTAGGAATTGGTTTAATAAGTTTTAAGAGGCGTGTGCGTACAGTTTTAATACAATCAATTCAAGACTCAATACTTATTTAAGGAAGTAATGTGAAAATTAAAGCCAGCTTTGATTTCGTGAAAAAAACAAATGGTAATATTAAAATTTGTAGAAAATGGTAATATTCACAGACAGCATAAGCATACACAGGCTGAACACGCGGGAGATATCGTATGTCCCGTTTTTTCTTAAAAAAAAAAAACTCCCGCCAGCACACGTGCACCTGAAGATTCTTAGCTTGTTCAAGGACACGGAATTGGGCGCGTCGCGTGCGCCGTTGTCAGCCGGGCGCGTTCGGAAATGCTAATCGGGAGCGTTCAACTTTTCGCCTCATCGAAACGGAATGATTTTCGAACGTAGCGCGAAAACCGCCCCGCCATTTTGGTTTGTAGTGTCACTTGTTAATCATATCCGTATAGGTATTTAATTATATACGACGATACATTTTCCTGTTCTCTATCGGTTCTTCTAGTGATCTCAGGAAGTCGAATAGAATGGGACGATGTTTTATTCAATGCGCGCGATTTACATAATGCCTTTGGAGCGTCGTATTTTTTTTCATCTGGCCCCCAATGTGAGGGCTGGTTCGTACCGGAGAAGAGTGACGGACAGTGTTTGATAGTCACATAAATACGGCACAAATGACGTTCTGTCGGCCCAAAATAGTCCCAAGATTGTAACATAAAGTATTAAGTAGATTTTCAAGTCGATTATTTTTATGATTCACATACAATGAGTAGATTTGAATTAGTGGTAGTATGAATAATCGGCTAGACGCATTGAAGTCGGTAACTAAGTACCGCTACAAAAGAGAATGTAGGTAGTAGTCGAAATCACAACTGTGGTAGGGCCACGTAGTAGCCTAGGCTGTCGCACGAATGGGCTGGCTCGTGCGGGTAAGTACCACGACCTCAAGAATACCGGCGTAAAGTACCGGCGTATGACAAATACTTTCGCGTTTCGTTTTCAACCCTTCTGTAACCCTCGGGTGTAGCAGATGTCGATGGGCGGCGATATTCACTTAACATCAGGTGAACCGCCTGCTCGCTTGTCAACTTTTCACATAAAAAAAATCTATGTCTATTTATGTGGATGATGTCAGTGTTTAAGTTAATAATATGGAGATTCTTCAAATACAACTTAATATCTTGAACGTTAAAGGCGAGTCGGGCCAATGTCTGCAATTGGTCTTTCTCGTCGTCTTTGAAGTTCCAACACATACATAATCAACGTGTGACCTTGATGCCCATAACGCTAGGATTGTAAACAGCGCTGTGGTGTGGAAGTTTTCATGATGTTGGCGTTTCGATGAGTGTTGGCATGATTCATAAAAAATTACATCCTAGAAAAGCACCCACCATTCTGTATGAATAATGCTGTGGCTCCACGATAATCAGACGGACGCTCGTACGTTCCTTTACTCACATAATTTTGTCCAAACGCGCCAAAAGACATAGATATAGACTTTATTTTGACAAGCAACACACAGCGAGAACATTCAAAATAAATGACATGAAAATAAAAAAATACAAAATAAAAACCAAACATCGCTTTTAAAAAAACAAATTAAAAAAGAAAAATAAGTGTAAGTACACAAAGTCACAAAAAAGACATAAGAAACCTTTGAGGAAAAAAAAAATGTAAAGCGTGTAATGTGCAATAAGGAATGTATTGTATTGAGTGTCTATGTCAAAAATGAGTAGTAGTCGAGAGTACCGCAATGCAGGTTTTCTGTGGAGCCATTTCAATGAGAGGAATGTGCGGGTATATCAGCAACTTGTAACAAGAGAAAAAGAATAGATAATCATACTAAAAGTGAAATAGGTAAAGCGAATAGGTAAAAGTATAAGGTTTAAAAATAGATCCGAGTGGAGGTCCTCCTCCTTTGAAAAATAATCAACGCAGCTCCGTTTACGAGCGTTTCCTACGCCACGCAGTGAACGAAATTCCACTAAACATGGCTCGGCCCTCCGCAGCCGCCTCCCGCGTAGCGACATGTGTTGGCCGGCGGACATATTGGTTTCGGCGCTAGTGATGCGAAAGGGTGGTTAATGAATTAGTGTTGCGACCGAAAAAAGCGTGAGTAGGCTCCCAGGGAGGGCTGCGTACAAATTTAATTACTGTATACGATGTTAAACTTAAGAATAGCGGTTTTGTGATTGCTTGACTACGAAACAGTGAAATTTTACTTCTAGTCAAATTCTAAAATAATTTACTTTTTTGTTGTTGTATTTTCTAAAATTATTGCCCCTTACTTTAGGATAACTTAGGACGTTTTACAAACATAAATTTTACGTTGACGAACACCCAGATGCGGAACACTTATCTGTGGGTCACACAAATAGTTGTCCCGTGTAGGAATCAAACCCACGACCCCCTGACGCCAAAGCCGATACCTATGTATTTTGGTAAACAACTTTCAGAATATAACTAGAAGTTCTTGTCTTGAAAACATTGATTTAGAAACGTACCTTTACAGTGGACAGTAGAGTTTGATTTAAATATGAAATTTTGAACTTGTTCGTTGTAGAGCGATTGTATAAGTTTTCCATTGTCCCGTCGTGGTACGGAACCCTAAATATACCTCAATATGCATCTGCACACGAGCTGAAGTGTTAAATTTAAACAGTATGGTACAAGCAGATATTCATAGAGCTTACCAAGTTGCGATTAAGTAACGAAGGGTTGTTTTTGGCCGTGTAATAGGAGCCTGTGGTACAGTGTGCGGGCTCGGCTCGAGTTTCATTGTGTCCGTACCGCCCGGGTTCGAATCCGTAGTCGTTTTTTAATCGCCACTTGTTTGGAAAACTTCCTGCTAATGGTGCCCCTATGTCTACTGCTTTACATATTTCGTTGTCACAGCTTTCCAAGTTTCAATGTGAGGGTTGCACCAACGGATAAATTGTTTGACCTTGTACTTAGTGAACTACGTAGTAGTTATTTCATCTCGTACGTGTATTTCCTATCTTTGTAATGTGTGCTTATTTATTTGTTTGTTATTAATGTTGGTTTTATACCAACATGAGGTTAACAGGATAATTTTATCCTAAAGTAACTGCACTGTTAAAAAAACATAATTTTTTTTCACTCATGGGCTTGGTCCGTCTAAGTTCGTCGGTTACTCGGAAGGGAAGCCGGTCGTAAGATATCATTACGCAGCGCCGGAAGGGCGAAACGCAACGACAGGATTCAGGCTCCGTTGAAGTTTCGCGCCCCGCGTCGAATTACTCGAGGTCAAGTGAAGGATGTTGAAACGCCACGAAGAATGGACTCTTAAGTGTGTAACAATTTGAACGATCGCTCGATAAATAAAAACTTAACAGCGATAGCGAAATGACGTGTCAGTTTTTCTATAGCGTCATTAAAAACATAGAGTAACTTTGTGTACTTGGATACTTGATTAAAAAGACTTGTTTGTCAATGGTTTTATTGCTCTATGGTTGAATTTTTTTTCGGAGACTAAAGATATTTTTATTTAATAGAGGAGGCCTAAGATATTTTTGTTTTATCTATATTAACAAATTCTCTTCTACTTTTTTTAGTTGCGATTTTAGAGATTATCGTGTGTATTTTTTTTTATATTTTATATAATCTACTGTAATGGATACAAAATTCTATATACTTTTAAGTTTCAATTTGAGCTGGCCTAAATAATTCGAATGGGAATAATTGAAAATGAAACTCAATAAAAAATGTGAAATATTTTATAGCGCTATCTACGCGTATTGTTTTCGTGAACACATAACATCGATTAGTCGTTTCAATATTAATCGAGCGGAATATTAATATCGATTACGTCACAGGCACAGCGTAGGTAGCACATGTACCGGGATGTCGCGTTAACGAAACGCATCGTCTAACGGTTCCGGCGCGCGCGATATGTGGGCGTATTCAAAAGCGTAACAAATGCGCGGGACTCTCAGCGGCGAGGCGTTCGGAAAGGCGTCGCGGTATTGCTGTTTTTTTTTTATGTGAGTGAGTGGCAAACGAGCTGACGGCACACCTGAAGCACACTTTTTATTGCACACCCGTAGGGTTGTAAATGCGTTGCGACCTTTAAATAAAGTGGGCCCCGGCCGCCTCACTCACCAGACGAAACGGAAAAGTGTAACACTTCTACTTTACGCAGGTCTTCTGTGAGATCTTGGTACTTACCCGGACGGACCTGCCCATTCGTGCAACAGCGGACACTGTTGCGTGGCCCAACCACAGTAGAATTTCACTGTATACACTAGATTATGGAACACCGTGGGTGAATATTTTTCTTTTTTTAAATATACGACCGTGTATCATTGCGAGATGGGTAGCGCCGTCCTAAATACATTCAAGTCCAACTATTGCTATGCTTTATTTATTTTTATTTATTTTGCTTATGTTCCGTCGTCCTTGAAAACATAAATAATTTAGTTCTCCTTTGAGGACTTTACAAGTAATTATGTTTTTATTAAAAAAAAAACATTTGAAATATCCCACTCGCAATATATACATTTTGTAATTTATTTTGAGGAGTTCCCTGTAGTCCAAGGTCCAATATAAGTAGAGGTCTACTTGTATTTTTTTTAGTTCTTGGTTTAAGATTTTAATTAATGTGTTATAAACTGGACCATAACGTCCAGGTCCCAATTGACCTCTTTAATTTTCACAGGACAACGCGAGACCTGTTGTTTTACACATTGTTTTAGATCTATATATTAATAAATAATTAAAAATGCATACCCGCAGATATTGCGCGGGATTTAATTAAAAGTTTTTAGGTTAAATTTCAGAGGAGGATTTTACCGCAAATGCGGTACTTACACCTAACTTAATGTTAACCTTATATGAGTATAAAACAGGCATTACTAACAAATAAATAAATAAGCACACAAAATAATCATATTATTTTTCACTACTTCTCATTTGGCTCTTTCGCACCTTCTTATTTTCTCTATTTATTTGTCAGGCGACTGGTAGAGAACACCAGGTGGTAAGTCCGTCAGTGTACGCTGTCGTGTAAAAAGTTTTTAAACAAATATGTAGCAATAAATTTCGGATTGACAGAAAGAAATCTACAAAAACAACGAAATTCAATAAAACACGACCCAATTCCGACCACTGACGATCTTTTAGACCTTCCATTTGACAGCGCTTTTCCCGCCCAAAGCGGAAGACGTCGGAACAGATGGTGCGGCGAATCGTGTCCTCCGATTGCGGGGAGTGAAAGTGAATCCGATCATCCCATTGTGGTGGCGTCGCACGTGCCTTCCGGAACGGGGCCTTTTGCTTCCAAAGCTAACGGACAGACGGATTTATGTAGATGGGGTACTACATAAATCCCCTTTCCCACCACTATGGTGGGAAAGGGGGATTTATGAAGTACTAGCAGTCCGCGGGTAATGAGGTGAAAGCGTAAAATTCAGACAGACAATGTGTGATTCAGACAAATGTGCACATTGCAAGTGCACATTTTTATTAAAGAAAAATAAAACCGACTTCAAATATCTCGCTCTGTATTCATTTTATAATTGACTAGCGACCCGCCCCGTGTTTGCACGGATGCAACGTATTGTACATATAAACCTTCCTCTTGGATGACTCTATCTAGTAAAAAAAACCGCAGTAAGATCCGTTGCGTAGTTTTAAAGATCGAAGCATACACTGAGACAGACAGACAGCGGAACGACTTTGATTTACTATGTAGTGTCGTCGTCGTATACCGTCGTTATATTCATAGACATAAACATTATAGCTTTTTCGTCAAGCACGCGGTAAAAAAAAATCATCTAGAAATTTCTTAACCGGTTAGAAAGTGCATTTCAGAAGCCAGTCTCTTAGACATTTTTTATGTTTGATCTTTCAATATCAGAAAAAACTGTTTTGACCATCCAGAAAATATAATTTTCAGGAGTTCCCTGAGTATCTCCGGAGCCAAAGATCCAATACCAATGAAACTAGTATTGGACCACATGGAAAGCACCAGTTTTCAAATGAAAAAAGAATCATCGTAGTCGGTTCTCTCAATCGAAAGTTCTGAGGTAAAAAAACAAAAAAATACAGTCGAATTGAGAGCCGGAGAAGGAGGTCCTTTGAAGTCTGTTTAAAAATGAACACGAGAACCTCAACACCAATTTATAACTCGATCGACTTGGCGTATTGTTATCAATACACCCAATGACTCCTACCCGACTTCTACACGGCATCTGTCCGCTCCCCTCGCCCGTAAGGTCAACGTTCCGCGCGAAAAAAGCACCATTAACCGAATAAAGGCCACCTTCAAGACGCCACGGTGCGATATGTAGCAGCGCAGCTGGCAACACAGCTGCGCCAGCCGAGATTCGAGCTGCACTTGTCGCGCCGCAGATGCAACGCCCGCACGCGACTTACCTTTGACCCGAAACCGTTACGTTTCCCGCGCCATTGTTGAACGTTCGCGTTGATTTTTTTTGTGGCAACACTACCGAATCGGAAGCCTTAGATACGAGTTTCCGTTACGTCGCGCATAGACTAAAGTATCTTTTTTTTTGTTTATTTTACAATGTTACGGGATTTGGATATTAAGTTTTGTTTACGTATATATTATATGTAATTGTTTTTAGTGCGGTAATGATTGTTTTCATAAAATAATATATGGAAGAAGTCAACTTGTTGTACACTTATAAATGAAGTGTGACAATTTTGTGACTATGTAATGGGTTGTCTGACGATATAGATTATGTTACTCATACAGTACAATTTGTTACAATTTATTACAGTATTCAGTACAGAAAGACAGCAAAAAAGTAAAGTAAAGTAACAGCCTATACATGTCCCACTGCTGGGCAAAGGCCTCCTCTATACAAAGGGTATCAGGGCATACTCCACCACGCGGCCCCACTGCGGATCGGACATCACATATCTTCGAAAAATTTTATTTTGTTATTATTTTCGAAACTACGCAGGTTTCCTCACGATGTTTTCTTTCACCGCTGAGCACGTGATATCAGATTCAGCATTTGAACTTAACAATTTCACTGGTGTCGGCACCGGGGATCGAACTCAGATTGTTCGAGTATATTGAATTAAAGGCAAGCGCCCGGACACTGAGCTATCACGGCTCTATGGGGCATTTATTGTAAATTAAAAATATATAGGATACTGGTTCACTCACGAACGTCCATACACAAATGTTCCTCGACGTAATTGGCGTAGTGGATAGTGACTCCCTTGCGCCAGAGGGTGTGGGTTCGACCCCCACTGGAAAAGATATTGTGTGATGAACACAGTGTTTTTCTAGTGTTTGAGTGATTATATATCTATAATATGTATTTATTTACAAAAGAAAATTACGTTTAAGTATGTTTATCAGTTACCTAGTATCCATAGTACAAGCTCTGCTTGGTTTGGGGTTAGATAACGTTGTGTAAAAATGGCGCCGAAATATTTATTTATTTACAACTATTTCATCAACTCAACGGGATTACGTACACATTGGCGGTGATTTCGCCTTGACGACAGAATTACTTATTTTATCAAACGTCTGAAAAAAAAAACGGTGTCTATTGTCGGGACATCCCCATCTTGGCGCGTGCGGGGGTGGTGCGCGTGGGTGCGTTGGCAGTTGGCACGTGCCAAGCCACTGTCGCAGAGGTGTTCGCATTTTTTTGTTGTCTCTTTCTACTGGGTTACAAATTTAATTGTACACGTCTTGAGGTGGGATCAAAGCTGATACTGTTACGTGCAGTTTGAGTATTATGCTTTAATTTTGATAATATAGAATACTAGCGATCTGATACTACTGCGTCTACGTAAAATATACTGAACGCGTAACATTCAGACTGAAAGACATATACATAAAATATGTATGTAAACTATAGCCTACGTCTTATTCTGATATATAAGCTATATTATTGTAAAGTTTCGTTAAAATCCATTCAGTAGTATTTGCGTGAAAGAGTAACAAACATCCATCCATACATACAAACTTTCGCCTTTATAATATTAGTAAGGACAGTAAGGATGATTTACATTATATGACTTTATTCATATACATATATAAGTGAATGTGACAGATGATGTCAAACGTATGATACGGAAAAAGATATTAGTCTATAGAATTTCAATCTAATTACACCAATTGGCGTAATTTGACTGATTTTCATATCTTTGTGTATAATATCATTGATTGTTGTCTGTACATATTGTAACGCCCTATCAATAATAATAAACATTATTATTAATTAATCATAAAAAAGATCAATTAAGATGAAAATAAACCGTTTAATCACAATAAAAGTTAATAATATATACTTAAATTAAAGAAATATAAGTGTTAGTATTGGAAAATGATATTACCAAAAATTGATAAAAAACAGTTAAAAATCATTTAAAATATTCAAAAAAGGATATTTATTAAAAATGTAGAAAGATCCTAAAGAAATATCAATAATTTATCTTGGTCATGTAATGATGTTGTATGATTTATTCATATAACGGGGATAAAAAAAAATAAGTTTATATAATTGTATATATATATATATATATATATATATATATATATGCAAAAATGGGGGGGGGGGGGGAGTTCAGTTACAATACGTTAGCATATTTGCAAACGTAGGATATTTACAAAAGAAAGTTTTTGAGTTTGTTCACCAGTTATTTGGTTCCCATAGTACAAGCACTGCAAAGTTTGGGACTAGAGTGCGTTGTGTAAAAATGTGTCCTGAATATCTATTTATTTATATATTTTCTGAGTCCACCGAGTAGAGCATATCTGGCTTCTCGACACGTTTACGAACGCGCAATGACCGAACTGGGAATCGGGAATCGAACACGGGTAGAACGATTGTACCGAAATATATAGTATAATCATTACGAATCGGGGGTTGATCGGTGGGGTCTTATGCAGGGGGTGGCAGCCTACCCCCGTGCATTATCGCAACGGTTTTTTATCCATCGATTTTGTAACGGTCTGGATGTAGGTCGCGTGTTG